TACCGTTACTGCTACTGCTACTGCTACCGCTACTGCTACTGCTACTGCTACTGCTACTGCTACTGCTACTGCTACTGCTACTGCTACTGCTACTGCTACTACGAGCACAACTACTACCACTAGCACTACCACTACAACTCCCACCCTGACCTCACGCTCACGCCGACGCCCACTACCGCTTCCACTCCCACTCCCACCCACACGCCCACTCCCGCTACCACTATCACTATGACGATGACTACGAGTCGACTACTATTAGATTTGTTGCTGTGATTGTCTTGCTTGCTATTTAGCTAACTCTGGTGCTTATTGCTGGCTCCCGCACAAAGAAGTTAACTCAGTAGCAGTTGCAGCCGAAGTGGTAGTCACTAGCAGTAGCCGTCGTAGTAGTTGTTGTCGTAGTACCAGTCGTAGTCGTAGTCGTAGCCGTAGTGTCAGTAGCAGTAGCAGTAGCAAGCATCAGCAGCAGTACTACTACTAAGCCATCAATCGTCAAAAAAATGCCCAACAAGCCCGGCAGAAACAAAACTCTCAACAAGTAGACAGCCCCCAACCCAAATCAATTGACTGCGGAAATCCGTCTGTGCCAATTGCGGCAGCTAGTGGTGCCTGAAGACCTTGAAACGTAAACCTCAAGCCCTAAACCCCGAACTAAAAAAGCAAGACACGTTTCTGGCACAAGAACCCTACCCTAAACCCTAAAGCCCCTATAGCTCCTAAACCCTGAAGCCGCTAAACCCCAACGCCCCTAAACCCTAAAGCCCCTAAACCCCAAAGCCTCTAAAGCCCCTTAACCCAAAGCCCTGGCGGGACCCTAAGTCGCAAAACCAAGGGCCGCCAAACCCCCTGTCTGTGGGAGAAGCCTCGTCCGTCTGCGAAGGAGCTGCAGGGTCCGCGCAGTTGGAGCCTTGTGCTTTAGGGGTTTAGGGTTTAGGGTTTAGGGTTTAGGGTTTGGGGTTTAGGGTTTAGGGTTTAGGGTTTAGGGTTTAGGGGCTTGCTTATGGCTTTGGGACTTTGGGGCTGCAGGGCTTCAGGGCTTGGGGTTTTAGGGTTTTACGCAGGGTTTAGGGTTTAGGGTTTAGCGCTTTACGGTTGCGGGTTCAGGGTCCAGACTTTATTTGGGTTACGAGCTACGGTTTTGCTGCGATGCAGCGGCGATACCATGCGGGCATTTTCAGCATTCATCTAAGCATTCGTATTAGTTGGCATTGGCATTGGCACTTATACAAGCATGAGGCCTTGTCTTAGCATCACTTTGAGTTGTGATTGGCAGCCTTCGCAGAAGCAAGATCTGTCATGCTTTGGTTATCACCGCCTCTGGGAGGCTGTATAGTGTGGAGGACTTCAGATAATGGACTTTACGGACTGTAGGGTTTAGGGTTTAGGTTTTGAAGGTTTAGGGCTTCGGTTTAAGGATTTGGAGTTGCAGTGCGTTGGCTACTGCACAGTGTCGTGTCGAATGCTTGGAACTTGGATCCGGGGTAGCACTACATCGACATGGAATGAAACACGTGTAGACATGGCACACACAAGTGGACCGACAGACCGACAAGCTTATACGAGTAAGAAGATGCATGCTTGTAGTGCATCCTGGTACACATACGAGTGTAGACGTATGCAGATAATGGTGTGCAGGCTTATTAGACTAATTAGACTATGATATGCACAAGATATCTCGGTGTTCTGAAACTGTCGGCAAGAAAAGGTGCCCCACACGAACGATAACCTCAAGGATCGTGGTTGCACCAGTCGCAACAGCACACAAGCCGCAACAACGAAGCCATGAGCAGCCCCGCCAGACTGGAAGAAAAGCGAACCGAGACAGCAGAAAACAACAGCAACACTGGCATAACATAGGGCCCTAATAATCAGAATAGGGTCTTGGGGCCCATTCTGCTATACTTATAATACGAAACCCTCAAAATAGTATAGGTAATTATTAAGGCTCCTATATCAACGGCAAACGCATCCGTGAGGTAGAGTGGGTCACAGGCTAGGCCCCAAACTTTAAAAACCTGAGACCTGATGCTGAAACCCTAAACCCTCGCAAGCCCTAATCCCTGAACCCTAAACCCCAAACTTAAACTCTAAACCCTACACCCCGAATCCCTGATGCTGTATCCGATTCCGGGGGCCGCTCGCTCTGCAGCAAGGATCACAAGAACGACGGATCTCCTCTTGATGAGGGTTTAGGGTTTCGGGTTTCGCATTTTCAGAAACTGGAGAAAGTTCTGTGAAGGTGCGGCGTTTATTGGTTGGGGTTTACGGCAGAGGGTTAAGGGCTGAGGAGTTGCGGGTCAGGTTGAGGACGCTGGGTTCTTGCAGAGCTTATGGGCAATGGGATTGACAGCTTTCTCAACAGCTTTGCCGGAATCTAAGCCGTAAATCCCAAACCCCAAACCCTCAATCTTAAATCACAAACTCTAAACCCCCATACCCCACACCCTGTCGGAAATCGGGGCGCTTCGTGGGTTCGAGTTTATGTTTCAGCTCCTCGAGTTTCGCGGTTAGGGGTTTTGGACGTAGGGGTTTAGGGCTGAAGGGTTTCAGGGGCTTCTGGTTTAGAATTTAAGGGTGGTTTGGGCTTTAGGCTTTGGGATTGAAGGGCTGTCTGCGGATTTGGAGTGCAGCTGTTCGACAGCTTTACGTCGAAGCTCCTGAAGCTTTATGCATAGGTCACCCTTCTGTTCAATGTTCGGTGGTACTTCAACAGCCCCCCTAAACCCTAAACCCTACACCGTGAACCTACCGCAGCCCCCAAGCCTCAAAGCCCAGACCTAGAAGACTACAAACTTCCCCAACGGGACGTGACGTTTGGACACCCCTAGTATAGGGGCCTGAATGCTTAGAATAGGGTTTTGGGAGTTCCTTTTGAGGTTTCCTGAAAGGGTTCTATAAGGGCTACTATAAGGGTTTAGGGTTTAGGGGCCTTAATAATTAGAATAGGGTTTGGGGGTATGTTATACGATATCTATAGTAAGGAAGCCCCAAAGTGATATAGGGAATTACTTAGGCCCTTATTTTACACCCCAAACCCCAACTTGCGGAATTACAGAACTTGCTTCACCCCCAATGCTGCCGTCCTCGGCACATCCCCTCAATAAAACTCATGGCTCTTCGCAAGGAGGAGGAGGCAAACTTTGAAGATTCTTCAAGAAGACGACTTTGTGGCAAGTCTTCTCCGTCGTCTCTTTCGGCGACTCGGCGCCGAGACCCATGTTCTCCCAGAAGCTGTCTGGAAGCTGCTTCAACTTCTCCTGGGTTCGTATTTTGGGATTTAACCTACGTTACAATAATAAAGCAACCAGAATATCTACTATAGATCCCCTTTATGGCCCTAAACCCTAAACCCTAAACCCTAAACCCTAGCTTAAACTAAACTCCTTAGCAAGAACCCAGTCTCCTTTGTGTTGTCCACGAGGCGCTGGAGCTCGTCGAGGCTGTCGTAGTGATGCAAGACCCTCTCAAGGTACTCCTCCCGGAACCTGCCTCGTCCCTTGTCGAAGTTCGTGAGGAACCCGGAGATGGCTTCTTTTGTAGACGGTGAGTGGCATCGCTCCTGAGGCGGCTCCGGCTCGCAGTCCTCCTCCTGGGAGCCCTGTCCAGCATCATCTTGGGGTCCCTGAAAGCCCTCTGCAACTTGTCCCTCTTCGCCTTGGGGCTGAGACTCCTCCGGTGAGGCATCGAACTCCTCCTCGAGGTCGAGCTCTTCCACCGCCGCAGGCTTCGCTGGGTCCATCTGGCCTTCCTCCACCTCGATGGGAGGCTCGGGCTCCGGCATCGGAACTTCGGGCTGCATCTGCGCCCGCCAGCCGATGGCCTGCTGAAGAAAGGCCGCCCGCTCCGTGTTGACGCACCGCGCAACCCACTGAAGACAAGGCAGGATCCGGTCGAAGTGCTCGCACCAGGCCCCCCACTCTGCCGGCCGAGCCTGCACATATATCTGAGTTAAGCTCCGCTTGATGAGGTCGAAGAGAGGCTTCTCAGAGTCCACACAGCGTTTGGCAGCGGCAGAGTCATGTGTCCCAGACATGTGCCACTCCATCAGGTGCACATGGGTGGCCAGAGCAGGATGAAAGCGACGCAAGAACGCATCGGCCTGAATGGCGAGCTGCGGCGGAGCAGATGCCCGCGCGTCACTCAATGCCTTCGCAAAGCCATCCAACTCTGGGACTTGGACAGGAAACATTTCAGTCTCATGCTGCGGCAACTGCTGCAACAACCTCCATGCCGCTTCATTGAAAAACTGCGGGAGGGCGACCTTGTCCCACTGCAGCTCCACAAGCTCCTGGCACCAAGCTATGAGGGCTTGGCGGTCACCTGCGCTGGTCGAAGAGTGCAAGACCTGTGTGGTTCTGGCAGAGAAGCACCGACTTTGAATCTCCAGACTACACGCCAGCACCTCCTTTGCCGTCTGCGGCTTTCGCTGATCTTTGCATGTCGAGACAATGTGCTTGCAGCTTGCACATGCTCTGCAGATGGCTTGCCAGTTTTCGGGAAGCCGTTCGACCCAAGAGTCCTTCAATGTTTCGAGGGCATCCAAGACAGCATTGAGCTCGTCGTCCAGCATCTCCTCCTTGCACCACCGTGCCAGGAGCCTTTCCAACAACAAGGCCAAGTGACGAAGTGGGGGGCTCCGTGAAAGCAGGGCATCCAACAGTTGGAATCTCTGTCCCGAAAGCTCTTTGCCGCGCAACTTTGCCGCTGCTGGCAGCCACGACTCAAGGATACACTGCCGGTCATCGAAGTCCCTCTGAGAGATGGCTAAACGAAGCTTTCCAGCCCACAAGCTACCCCAAACAGGCTTCGCCTCGGCAAAGCGCAGCCGCTCGATAAGCAACTCCGTCGCTTGAGTGAGCGCCTGCTTGCTCTGGTCAAACCGCAGCAACTCCTCCTGCGATGCCCTCTGGAGGAGATGCAAACACTGAGTGACAAAGACCTGACAGGGCTCCGAAACCCTGAACCCTGAGAACCAAAAAAATCTGACCTAAAACCAGTCCCTATAAGCAGTTTATGTATACTATACTCCCAAAACCTATTATAACTCTTACAGCCCCCAAAACCGTGAATCCCTTACCGAGCCATTCTAGTACCCATACAGCAACCCTAAACCCTAATCCCTAAAGCCTAAACCCGAAAACGGCCTGCAGGTTTTGACTTGAGGCTTTCTGCTCCTCGACGCTCATGCTGTCCAAGAGCTTTGCCGCCTCAGGGGGCTCAGAAGTTTAGGGTTTAGGGTTTAAGGTTTATAGGGTTTAGGCTTTAGGCTTTAGGGCTTAGGGCTTATAGGGTTTAGGGTTTAGGCTTTAGGGTTTAGGGTTGGAGGTTGGGGATGAAAGGGGACCTTTTGTAGGATCTTGCGAGGGCTTTTTCAATGATTTTAGAAGGGTTCTGTGGAGCTTATGGGAGCCTCAAAGGGTTTCAAAGGGCTTGTTCATAGAGTCTTGTAAGGTTTTAGCTGAGTTTTGTAGAGGCTTCACAGGGTTTTATAAGGGGCTTGGTGAAAAAGATAGAAACCGAGCAACGAGGTGCGGACAGTTTCACTTGTTGCCAAATCCCCTGATCCGAAAGCCCTTCGAATCCTCCTTTCTGAGAGTTGTCACAGTCAGTGACTATGCGTGCTGTTGTGCCTAATCTGCTTGCTGTTATCATCATTGGTGGTGGCGGCGGTGGCGAGCGGTGGGGGTGCTGGTGGTGGTGGTGGTGCTGCTGCTGCTGCTGGTGCTGCTGCTGGTGGTGGTGGTGAGGTGGTGGTGGTGGTGGTGGTGGTGGTGGTGGTGGTGGTGGTGGTGGTGGCGGCGGCGGTGGCGGCGCTGG